GATGGTCACATTCCAAGCTGGCCACAGAATTCAGGCGTCCCTGTTCCAGCAAGCAATGAGATTTGCACTGAGACAGAAGGATGGGGGCAGGGAAAGAAACTCTTTCAGGGCCCTTTATTGCACTGAGAGTGAACTGGGTTAGTACTTGGGCAGCCCATGTGGACAGTGAAGCACCATGTGGACAGTGAAGCACCCACACTGGCTGGTGGTCAAAAGAGGAGCACGGGGAAGGGTAGTCAGTGACGGACAGAGGCAGGCTATGCTCTCTGGGAACTCCATGGCTGTCACCATTACCACCCAGCTTAGCTGCCAATGCACAGGTAACAGATCCCAGCTTCAGCTGGTGGCATCTAGGGCTCAGCCCTGCTGAGGCTTTGCTTCTGCACCCAAGCTGGACAGCTCTGGTTTGCGCATCTCCCTCCCATCGCCCCTGCCCCAAAACCCACAGCAGGAAGCTCACTGCGGAGACGCTGACAAGCAGCAGTTGTCTCCTCTAATGGAGCTGCGTCCCCTGGGGGCTGGTTTGCTGGTGTCGCCATCACTCACACCAGGCTGACAGGAGCCGGGGTAGTGGATGGCGATACAGAGATGCCTGGCGGCGATCATGCTCTAGGGCCTGGTTTGAAGGCATGCTGCAACATGACAGCGTATTAGCAAGGCTCTTCCCAGGCAGGGAGAGCCGCTCTGATTACAGATGGTCGGCAGCATGTGCAGATGGCCTGGGACGCTCTCTGCTACAGGAAGCCAACTCTATGGTCAGCTTTGTTATGCAGAGTGCTGGCTGGGTGAGGGAAGGTAATCCCAGTCCTGCTGCACCTTCTGACTGTGCCCCTCTCATTGGCTGGGGGAGGGGAGCAAAAAGGAGAGCGGGCACTCTGGGTCAGTCGCTGGGGCTGTCTTCGCTATCCGAGTACGCCCCCAGCAAGCTGAGGGAAGAGCCCTGGGCTGCTGGTGCAGGCTGGGTCCCCGCAGGCAAGGGAATGCTCCGACTCCCAGCACCTAGGAGCCAAACAGTGGATTTGGTCAGTTGGCTTTCCCCAGTGCTGGACCTCCCTACGGGCTTCCCCGCTGCAGCCTGGGCTGACAGCCATCCCCGAGGCCCAGCACCTTCTGAGATACCAGGCAGCAGGGGCCAGCTACAAGGCAGATTCTTCCCACCCAGTCTGAAGCCAACCTCCCTGGGTGATCTCCAAGGTTCTCCTGCTGCCCCCTGGCAGTGGCAGGAGAGAACAGCAAGATGTCTGGGGTGCCCAGTCTCCTCTTAGGCTCAGAGGAGTCAGTGAATGGTGGAAGGGAGCAGGCAGCCAGGCACAGGGACCTCCAGTAGTTAGGGGTCTCTTCTGCACATGTGCACAGGAGAAAGGGGCTGATGAGGGTGCAAGGCAGGAGAAACTCCTGCTTCTGGGCCATATGTGAAGCTCAGTGCTTGGATCAGCAGTGATCCTTAGTCTCACATGGCCCCTCCCAGCATTTAGTACCATTCACAAATGAGGAATGGGGCCAGTGTTGTCACCCCTATTAGAATACAGCCCCCTCAGACACTGGACACAGCCAAATATCACATGGCAGCTTTGGACAGAGATTAAACACTCCAGGGAACTATGAGGCCAGGTGGGAATGACAAGACAGCGCTAACCAGGTCCTCTGACATATAGTGCCACCTCCACAAAAGGACTCAGGCCAAGAATGGCTCTTGGGACCTTATAGCTCTAGATCTGGGGTGCCCTGCTACCCATGGGATTGGCAGACACCTGGGCTCACCACCCCAAGACCAAGGGAACTGTGGTCACGATAGGGCTTGTACGCAGGCATGTGGACCCACAGCTAACCTGCTAGTGTCTATAGCCCCAACCAGCCAAGACTGATCCAGCCAGCTCAGGAATCAGCCACCCCACCTGCTCTGGGGACTCATCAGGCACCTGTGATGGCTGAGAGGCAGGGAGGGGAGACACCATCCAACTTAGACCCTGGCCACTGGCCCTCCAGAGTGCTGCCTGCCATTACCTGTGCTCGGCAGTGCTGGCAGCTTCCCCATCCCGTTTGCAACAGCTGAGCCTGGGTTCTGCTTCTTCACCGTGACCAGCCCAGCCAGCTGGGGCTTGCTGTTGAGCTTGCCCACACTCTTTTCCCAGTTCTCTGCCCTCAGCTTCTTGCTCTGGGGCTCAGTGTCCTGCAGGAGACAGAACAGATTCATGCTTTCTGTCCCCCAAGCAGCTGCAGCAGGGCTGGGGGGGAAAAAGAAGGGCTTTGCAAGACAGCACCAGAGAGCAAAGGCTGTTCCAAGCTGGCTGCCTAGAGGCAGCATCTGGAGGGGCCTTTTCTTTCCATCCGTACAACTACCTTCCTCCCTTCTCCCAAGGGCTGCATCCCTACAGCTTGGAGCATTTAAAATGAGCATGGAAGAGACACTAGTCAAAAGGCACAAGCTGGTGGCAGCAGGATGAGCTGCAAGCAGTAAGGCTTTTATGATCTCCCATTTGTTGGTGGATGGGGTGGTGGATGCAACTCACCGGGAACTGGAGGGCTCCAAAGATCAGTGTTGGGATAAGGAACATTTCCCAGGTCAACAAGAAAAAATTCTTTAGTGATGCTTGCCAAAATGCGGAATAAGCTTCCAAGGGAGGTGGTACCAATCTCCTTCCTTGGAGGTGTTTAAAAGGAGAGACCTGGCTGGGTCCAGCACTCATTCCTGCCCAGGGCAGGGGGTCGAACTCGATGATCTAATAGGTCCCTTCCGACCCCAACTTCTATGAAACTATGAAACTCCAGCCTGGGCAACCTTGAAAGCTCAGATTGGCTCTGTTTGCCAAAGGAGAAGGGAGACCGGGCTCAGGTACTGTTTGCAGGCCTGTGTTGTATATCTGTGCCAGGGAAGCAGGTCCCTAGGTTGGGTTTTAATAGGCAGGACAGGAGAAGGGACAACTGTCCTGCTCTTTGCTGTGCTGCTGTGGCATCCCTGCGAGCAAGTCAAGACAACAGGGCAAAGCCAGCAGGGTGGATCTGCAGCTGCAGCTCACATCCAGCTGGGACAACTCGCTGCCTGAGCTGAGGACTGAAATACACAGCAAATGCCTGCCTGCCCAGGGACTCAGCACTGTGGACTCCCAGAATCAGCCCCTGCAAGCCAGCCGCGTGGGAAGGCCCACCCCTGGGCTCACTTACCTCCTGGAGGAAGTCTGTGGGTTTCGGTTTTGCTGCCGGGTGCGGGGACACTTGGGCAGGTTCCTCGTCCGAGTCGGAATCTTGCAGCAACCGCCGGCTCTGCGCCTCCTCCAACATCGCTCTGCAAAGGGAAGGGGTCAGCCAGGGAGGTGGCAGGAGCTGCCCCATGAGAAGCACCTACACACTGCTCAGGGGCAAGAGCTGGGACAGCAGTTGCCACAGAGCTGATGGGCACAGTCCCTCCCCCACTGCCACAATCCTGCAATCTGACCCATACTTCATCCCCATCCCCTTTTTTAAAGTGAAGCTCAATGCTGTAGCAACGCATGAGACTGACAGCACAGAGGCCTCCTTCCATCTAGTTCCGTCAGGGACACAGCTTTAGGAGCTGTTCCGACAGCCCAATTCAACTGGATATCATCCAACTCCAGAGCTGCCACCTCTAAGACAAATTCAACCTCCCAGGTCCAGTCAGCAGCACTCACTCCTGGACAGTTCAGGCACCAGCCACACTGGTTCTCCTCACTGTTCACTCAAGGTGGAAGCATCCCCCAGTACGAGCCCCACTGCATCAGATCTCTACAGTGCTGCCCCCCTACACTTCTGGCTGCAAAGAATGAGACGATGGCCAACCCCAGCAGGGGCAATAGGGCAGGCTCCAGAGTGTAGACTCCCACAACTCACTTCAGCTCTTGCTCGTCTTCCTCCTTCTCCTGGCGTTTCTGCTCCTCCTCATACTCCTTGTACTGCTTCAACATAGACTCAAAGTCCACATTTGCCTGCCGCTGGTTGAGCTCCTTCAGCTCCTGCAGGTTCTCCAGAACCTCCATCTCCAGCTTGGAGTCCTTGGTGCGGTTCTCCAAGACCTGGCGAGGAAAGCACTGAGTGAGCCACACCACCACCTCCCAAGCTCAGATGATAGCAAAAGCATCAAAACACATAGCCCACAGACTGGTTCCAGCTCAGAGAGCCATCTCACCAGGCCCATAGTTTCACAGTTTCTAGGATCGGAAGGGACCTGAGCAGATCATCTAGTCCGACCCCCTGCCATGGCAGAAAGAGCACTGGGGTCAAATGACCCCAGTAAAGTGGTCATCCAACCTCCTCTTAAAAACCCCCAGGGTGGGAGCCTGCACCACCTCACTTGGAAGCTGGTTCCAGACTCTAGCCGCCCTGACCGTGAAGTAGCGCCTCCTGATGTCCAAC